CATTATTACAAATAACTTCATTTCTGGACATTTATGGTTTGATTTCTTTGTATGTATGGATCACTTGGGTTGTTACCAACATCTGGTGAAAATTTCATGTTACTTGCACCTCTAGTAATACACTGCTCAAAAAATTAAAGGGGACACTTAAACAACGCACGCTATGTCCAAGTAAATCAAACTTTTGTGAAGCACATTCAACTCTGTACAGAACAAAGTGCTCAATGTGAATATTTAATTGATTAAGATCAGGAGTTAGCGTGCGTTGTTTAAGTGTTCCCTTTATTTTTTTGAGCAGTGTATATTTACTGAGAAAAGTGGTGACGTGCTCAATACTTATTTTACCTGCTGTACTTTTTTTAGAAACACACTCAGAATTGTTGTGTGAGTGAATTCATGCCTTAAATTTTGATTTCTCTGACAATTTACTGACTTCTGTGTTTAGAACAGTTGGCTGTAATCGTGGTGATTTGTAAACCACAACAGGAAGTGGGTTTTCATTGAGATTGTATAGCGATTTCCACAGAAGAATTGTGGCTGTTTTAATGCAGCGCTAATGAGATCTGTAGAAAATGACTATTTTGTACTGATTTTCAGCATTTTTCTTTATATACAGATATTTTGGGGGTGCTGTTAGTTTTCACAGTAATTTTGTTTCACTGAAAATTATTTCTTGTAAGTTGTATAACAAATTTTCTTTACAGAATTAACACCTTATTTATCTGAAAGCCTAGTTTTTTTATTCATTAAAAATAAAATTGATCAGATTTGAAAAGATTAACCAACTTAAAAAACATGGTTTGAAATGCACTGAATATTGATGAAGTTGGTAATGTCAAATCCTAGTAATATTCATTCATTCATGCTATTTATTATGTACGTAAATGGCACTGCATACACCTAACATACAATAACATTAACATAAATGGATAACACAATAAAGCATAAAGCTTATTTCCATTGTGATCCAGAATATGACTGCATAAAGTATTTTTTTTATTGTTATTACAAAATGTAGGTTGTTTGTATTTTCATCAGATTTGGTCTGTTACAGAGTGATTGGTCCATTGCACAAGTTAAAAATGGAAGGCTTGCGTTTCTTGAAGGAATGCATAACCACTGCCATCTTTTATGTCTGAGTGTTAGACCAAGATTAATTTATATTATTATTATCATTTTTGTCGTTGAGAAAATAGGAGTTGTAAACGTTTGGGTCAAACCTTATAGCATTCTCAAGCCATATTGTGAAATATCATGCTGAAATCTTTAAAATGAACTAAATTATAGACATTTTTGTGATGCCAAATGTTACAATATTTACTTTCTCAAAGTTTCATTAACTTCTACTGAAAGGTTCATGAAATATTTTACTAACACACAACGTTGACTCCAACAACTAATGTAAAGTTTTAAACAAGGATGTGTGGGTGGACTCCCAGCTGCAGTCACACCAAGCTTTTAGCTCAATATACTCAGTTATATCTATTTTTGTGTTTGATGATGTTGATTAGCTGTGGTGGCCATCTTGAATTCAATGAACTCCAAAAGTAAATCAGTTGTAAATGTACATCAAATGGTTACCGAATTAGTTTCATTAATATATCCATCCAGTGGGTCATAGGATATTTTGCTAACAGATAAACGAGCACATACACAAACATTTGTTCTTCTATCCCCATGAGGACTTTCCATTAATTTCCATTCATTTAGCAGGGATTTCTACAGCCTAACCCTGACCATTTACCCTAAAATTAACCACAAAGGTCCCTAAACCTAACATAAACTGAATTCATACCTTCGTCCGAAACCTGACCCCTGACCCACGAGCTATTGCTGCCAATGGGGACCAGGCTTTTGTCCCCATTAGGAACAGTGGGTCCCCACCAGGCAGTGTGTATCAGGAAAATCTTCCCCACTATGTAGCAAAAACATGTACACACACCTACGTTCAGTATCAGTACACAGTACAATACAAAACAAAACATAGCCTATATTAATATATATATTAATATTAATATATTAGCATATACTGTATATATATATATATATATATATATATATCAGAAGTGCCCAAAGTGTGGCCCGCGGTCCAAAATTGTCCCACCAAGCCATTTGATTTGGCCCACCAGCAGTTGTCCTGGTTACTAGATTGTAATCATGTTAAGATTAAATATAAAATAAAGGTAACTACAAGAGACATTTAGATTAGATTTAAGTCCATATCTAAATTTACACACCTTATAAGAACCTATATTCAAATTTTAATTTATGAAAAGTCCCATGAGCCTTTGCTGCCTGAGCGTACGTTGAATTCTCTCCATGTCCATAGGCTGTAAGAAAAAAATGTGGGCAACCACTAGCTTTATCATAAAAAATAAAACAACTTTGTAAAGAAGAATTTGCATTTCCTATATTCTTGCATTTGGCCCACGGCCCTCAGATTGATTTTTAATTTTGGCCCTCTCAGGGAAAATGTTTGGGCAGATGCACTCTTTCCAAAGTGCAATTCTCGGTTTTGAACTCTAGGTGTCGCTGCTGTTCAAGCAGAACTCTATTTGTAACTTGTGGCGCTGCTTCTAATACAATATTGATTAAAATTCACTTTTACACGGTGATCCAAGTTTGTCTATATTTTTGTAGTGACCATTTGGATTTGAATCAACATATGTCTGATGATTAATTAATAAGAAAACATCTATATATTTAGGATTTTTTTTTAAATTAATTAATTTTTTTGCATCTCATCGACCATTCAGATCCCACCCCGAGACCCGCCTCGGTCATTCAGTTGGTCTGGACCGAACCTGTTTCGTGCAGTCGGCCGTCTGTCAGTCAGCACCGCGGTACCCCCCTCCGCCTCGGCTGGCTTCACCCTGCTGTGTGCCCACCTTATTCCAGCGACCAGCCCTCCGTTTGATGCGAATACAGGACAAAAAGAAAAAGAATAGCCGCCGGTTCGGCACGGCTTTTCTCCGATATTTTCTGCTTGTAGCTTTACATTTTGCAGTCAGGGTAAGTTAGGATGTAACGGGGGTGTTGTCCTGTTTTTCTTAGCTAGGTCGACAGATTCCTTCAAGCAGCCCGCTGTTTCAATCACTGCAGGCGGACACTACACTGTTTGAGGCGCTGTTTTAGTGAGCTAGCGGGTTAGCGGTGCAGCATTCCGGGCTGTGTTTTAACCAAGGCTGGGCTGATGATGTTGGATTAAGTTTGTTGAGACTGCACAAGACATCAGCTGTCACGGGGTTTTTTGGATGCCGCGAACGCTGCAGGTTGCAACTCGGAGAGGCTACTCCTGGCTCCCTTCCCCGTGCGTGTGAAACCTCTCGTGATTTCGCGGTGAACATCCGGGTGAAGAGTCGCAGCTCTGCTCGGCTGGGGGGACAAACTTGACAGCGAGGCCCCTGGCTCGTCCTCCCCTCCCCCAGCCGCGTCCCGTCTATCCGTCCCGGTCCAGGCCGACTTCACCCGCAGCCTCCGCGGACCGGAGAGAAGCTGAAACCGCGAGGCTGAAAGTGTCGGTCGGGTCCCGTTTCGAACCGGGCTGCCGAAAACCAGGGGAGGATGACTCTGGAGTCCATGATGGCTTGCTGCCTGAGCGAGGAGGCGAAGGAGTCGAAACGAATCAATGCAGAAATCGACAAACAACTCCGCCGAGACAAGCGAGACTCCAGGAGAGAGCTGAAATTGCTACTACTCGGTATGTTGCACGACGACATTCAGTCACATCTGCATTTGTCGTGTTTGTGTTGCTGTATGAACAACCAACAGCCTCCGGCCTTCATCTTGGCCGTGCTAGCATGTATGCTACCGAACCAGGCTCGCTAGCTGGAAGCCTGATGTCACCAGGAGAAACCTTATGGGAAGATTTAGCAAATTACGTGAGGTGTTTTTGGCTTTTTGAGTCGAAATTACTTATTTGACTTGGCCAGGTGCGTACCTGCAAGCACCACGGACGTATAATGAAACAACGGGCCCCCTGGGCTAGACACAGGTGTGTAAAAAAACCCCTCTCACCAAAAATGTAGACAAATTACATTAATAAAAAGAAAAACAAACTACATATGTCTAATTTTAATAACATGCTTTGCTGAAAGTTGATGGTTATCCTTTTAAACATATCAAATTTAATAACCCCCTCTAATGAAGAATAATAAACAAAATTATTTAAATTGTTGAAATTGCTATAGAATCCTCTTGTAAAACTAATTATTGGATATAGCCTATTTGTGGCTTTTTTAAAGCTGCATGGTCTCACAAAACCAGTTATTCTAAATTAATATATTTTAAATACATCTATTTGTGTACCTATTTATGTTTTTAATTTTTGCACTGTTAAAATGTTTTTTTTTTTTAATGTGGGGTTGTGCAGAGTTTATATAAATAATCTGTTTTGCCTGTAGTCGATCACGCTCAGCTTTGAAGATCAAAATAAAGCCTTTATCCATTAAAAACACAATTCAGCCACTTTAATCAAAAAATAGCAGAATAACACATTTTTCACAGTTCAGGTATTACAGTTTAGGCACTTGAGCTTGATAGTTACACAGCTTCATTACTTTGTTTCTCACGCTGGTTGTCTTGTTAATTTTTTTAGACACATTTGGTCCCTCTTTCCTAAAATTAGTGATCTGAATTATGCAAGTAGTTGTCTTTTATTTTTGCTGTGACGTTCCATCAGTATTCTAATTATTGTTTGGTTTGTGTCTAATATTTTTTCATTTAAACTTTTTTGAAGTCTTGTCACATTTTATGTCTCTTTTGTGTCTCATTGCATATTTTTGGGGCAATAAAAAAAAGTTGGGATTTTCAATCGGAAAAATTATATTGGGGCACGTCAGATAGAGATGCTGACGAGATGTTAAAACTGTAACAGCTTGAGTAACTTGACCCACGGTTTTAAACTGTGGAATTGCATATCTGCAGCCATTGCTGTCCCCATAGAATTACATTACCACCGTGGCGCATGCTTTAACTTTACCGTCTTTTTTCTATGGTCAAAATCTTTTCTCATGTATTTAATTTTAACTTTATATATTACCAAAAAAGTAGCTTGTTTTCTTACGAATATGAACTCAGCTAATGCTACTAAAGCTGTTGCTGTGCCCGTGAGCACTTCAGCTTTATTTTGGATGTACCTTTGGTTACGTGTTCATGATGAGTTTGTATTTATTTATTTTTTTTGTACAACCTCCAGCCTTTAAAAAGGAATACTCGTGCTTTGACACACCTAATGGACACTGGAGGATGGAGGAGCTTTGAGTTGCTTTCACCACGTTGCATAATATTTGAATAACCTGCAAAGCTTTTCGGTGCCTCACCTTGTCTTCGCTTGTTGCCCAATCAATACCTGCTGCATTTCTTTTTGATTGTTCAATAGGAACTGTGTTTTTCAAAATAATCCACCATTCCAGAGGACAAGGATGCTGAGGGATTTGCCCCCTCATCCAGGAGTCTAGCTGAGTAGGTTAGCTATTTTTATAGCCGGTGTGTGGGCAGGTGGAAGCTGCTGTTGAATAAGTTGATCTGTGCTGCATTGATTCATGGTTCTGTGGACACACAAAGGAACAGTTGGCAATGATTTATCACTGATGTACCTGTACTGCCTTTCAGAAACACAGAAATGTATTTTGCATTCACACGTCAATCTGACACCTCAGTTCTCAAATGCTCATGCATGATGGTGACCAACCGGCTGCTCACAAGCATCTAATGTGAAAGCTCATTGGTCGACGGCTGCACAAACAGGTGACCAGTTTTAGGACAATTAGAATTATCTAGGTTGCATCCTTAGTTTCGAAACGTTCGCTCCCATTTCTCACCCACCAAACGCAGCCCTGGTTATTTGACACGTGCGTCTCCTTTTATTTCCCCGCTGAATACCTCAACTCAGTCAAAGTAGGCCACACAAGAGCCATACCATTGATGGGACATAGTGCTTTGTTTCATGTCAGACGTTTTTGTCGCTGTGGCTGCCAAGGTGAATATGTGGAGCAAGGTGCTTGACTTTATGGTTTTTATGTGAACTGCGATCTTTTTCGCTGCATCTGCAGTGAAGGGCTGGTTGGACAAATTTCATTTAATGTAAGGGTTCAAGTAGGGCTGCATAATGGACTAAATTCATAACCATGAATGTTTTGGTCGGTATCAATATGATTATTGAACACAATTATTTAGTGCTGGGTGGTATATCGTTTTGTACCAAATACCGGTTTTTATTTTTGTTATATGAATTTTTTTGAATACCAAACATTCCGGTTTAAATAGCGGAAAGTTTCGTCGCGGCCGCCAGTGAACTGTTTTTTCCCGGGGGACATTTTTCCTTGCTGCACCGCTATGTGCRTTAGCATGCTAATGTTTGGAGCAGCTAGTTGCAGCAGTGGGTGGCGATTCCGCAGCTTATATTGACTGATGTTTAAAAAACATCCCATTTGCGCCGTTGCTGAATGTAGTAAACACCTCTTCAGTGACGTGCACAGTTAGATTTAACGCGGTTAGTTAATATGGAGACGTTATGCTGATGGAGACTTAACGTGGTGAAAAGCACAGGGAAGTAGTTCGTAGTGGAGTTGGAATTGACTGGTGTGCAAGGWGAGYHRTGCTGATAAGCTTTAATAAATAACATAAAACAATAAACCCGATCATAATCTTTTCTTAACCCTCCTCCTTCACGACTGGACCAAAATGCATGACTACTGTCTNATCATAATCTTTTCTTAACCCTCCTCCTTCACGACTGGACCAAAATGCATGACTACTGTCTCCAACCACCAGTCAGAGAAGAACAGACACAGAGGAGGGAAACAGCAACACAGACAGAGGTACAGTAAAAGAAAAAAACTCAATAAGCAGGGTTTGTACATTTTATTATCAGCTGAGCTGTGGTAAAAAGAAAAATACCGTCAAATACCGTGAAACCGGTGAAAATGTTGAAAATACCGTGATATAAAATTTTGATCATATCGCCCAGCTCTACAATTATTCATTGAATTTGGAAACATGAAAGTATTTTTTCCAAATAAAATTATAATAGCTGTCTAAAACACATTAGAAAAAATTTGTTTCATTTTATAATAACCACTAATTGCAAATTATTCACTATCCAAAGTCTATCCCATAATATGTAATAAATTGGCAAACAACTGGGAGTATTTTTTATTTAATTTATTTTTTGGCTCTTGGACTGTTTTTGGAAGCAGTGCAGATCCAAACTGAAGCAAAAAACATGTAAAAAAATGTAATTTTGCACAATAGTTCCCCTTTAAAAGAAAAGTTGGGGCTATGATCTAATGCAATTTTGCTGTGCCAAAATATTCCAAACTCTAATGGGAAGATTTCTCTAACTGTAGTTTATTGCTAGATTTGGTTGAGAAATATGAAACGTACTGTATTTGCAGTTTTATTTATTTATTTTTACCTCAATTATTACAAAACCTCGATGAGTTGGAGTTAACCACAAACATTTAATAATCTAAAAATTGTTAAAAGTAAGAAACAATAAAATAAAATCAAAAATATTGAAAAATCCCATCTTTTGACAGCAATTGTGGCTTTAAAGAACAGTGAATTGCCTTGCATGTTACATTCTGTTGACACGTTCTTGTTGACCTTTCACATAGAATAACTGACAAAGTATTAATTCAGATGTAGCTTACTGAATAAAATAAACACAAATGAGTAAAATCACCAGACACTGCTTCTCTTCTAAATTGTAGGGGTCCTATGAAATCTTTTTTTTTCTCCTCCCAAATTCTCTTTTGAGTTTTTGGAAATTTATATTTTATAATGTTACATATTTTTTAGCTAAACAGTTTTTTTTTTTTCATATTGTTAAATTTAATTTCTCTCTCGCTCTCTCTCTCTGAAAACTGGCAAGGACAGACATAAGATTTATTCTTCTGCTACCTTTCATTTTATTTTGATTTGTGTATTTTCTTTGTTTTTTTATTGTATATGGGTATTTTTTAATGAAATGAATATTTTTTTTTAATTGAATTGAACTTAGAAAGCTGGCTGCAGCAGGAGATGGAGACAAAATTGATTAAACTTTAATTACACAGTCCTAGGTTCACGCAACAATCGGACACTGTTTTCATCTATCAATTGCACTAATGGAACCTAATATTGATGGCAGACAATAAAAATAAAATTTATCACAGTGTCTGTGTGAAAGACAGAAGTACAGGGAAGAAGTGCAATTAGCCATGACATAAGTGGATCATTCTGTGAAAGTTAAGTCTGTTTGCGAGTGCCTGGATAAGGATGTGTAAGGCAGGATTAGTTCAGGTTTTAATAGGCTTGGTTAAACACATCTGCTGCTCAGGCTTTGAGATGTCACTGACTCCTGTTATCCCCCCTGGCATTATTCAGTGACCTCAGTGAGCTGCCGCCGCCTTCTCCCCACCTCACTGTAGGATAAGAGCAATGTCTCTTTTTGATAGTTTAACCACATGTGCCACCCTGGCACCACTTTTATAGCTCTGGATTAATGTGGATGGTCGCAGCACCTACTACGCATCGAGCTGAACTGACTATTGAAACTAAGTGAAATGAGGTACTCTGCCATAAAATGAGACTTACTGCCATAATCTCAACTTCCCGTTAAGTGCTTTTTTTGTTGTTGTTTTTGTAATTGCACACTGTTGAAAGGTAGCACGGTGTGCAATAATGTTTTTGCCGATGTCTATTAATAAAATGTCT